TTCAGTTTTAAGGCCGATACCGATAGGGGGCCGATTATATCGTGCATCCCTACTTTGAACAGGAAGAAACCTCCAGCAGAACCAGGCTCAGTGTGAGCGGCCATCTGCTGAGGCCCACTGGGGTTCAAGCAGACAGAAGCAGACAGAAAAGGAACATAGAAGCTCGGATCTATAAACATCTATATTAGAAAAGCTATCAGTAATCCAGCTCCACAAATGGAAAGCAACAGTTTTCATTGTAAAGAGATGAAAGAGAGAACATCCAGAAATAAAACTCGCTTGGCCCAGGTGTGTAAAGCAGAGACCCATCTAAAAAGCAGAGAATGTGTCGGGTAATGGTCATGTGACCGCAGGGTTTGGCTTTATAAAAAGGTTCGCCCTACCAGCTCACCTCTCAGACGTCCTTCCTTCATGTCACGAGTTCTGCTTCTCCCTGAGCGTATCTGTAACTCCAGCCTTCATCTCTCCTACCAGCCATCCCTGTTTCTGCTTTGGCCTTCACTTAAAACAGCTCTACTTGGCCAAACTTTTGCTGAGTTTCAAGTTTTAGAAGATCAATCTGCACGCCGTCTCAAACTTAACCCTCGCTTCTCCCACAGCTGGGCATCACCAGTAAACTATCTTCCCACACAATCACCCTGAGCTCAAGTTCCACTTTCCAGCCGACAGAATGCTGCACTGAGCAACCCTGGTGTAAACATTTGCAGAGCTCCACTGTCTCCCTTAGAAATAGGGTGAGTAGATAGGCCACCCAGGGAAGCCGCTGCGATCAAAATCCATTAAAGATCCAAGATCCATTAAAAGATGCTTATCATCGGCTTTTTAAAATTATTATTTTAACTGTTATTAAACTTATTATTATTTTAGCTTAATTTAGCAGCAAATCCTGCTTTCCATTTACAATGGACCTTCTTTGGTTGGATCCCTGGCCTACAGTCTTTCTGCATCAGGATGGCATATTCTCCCTGTGCATGCGTGGACTCTAGGGACTCTGACTACTAGCTTAATTGATGATTGTATGTTTCTGTGTTGACTTGCAACTGATAGACGACCTGTCAGAGAAAGGCACCATGTCCTTATGACCCTGACAGACACATTCTAGAAGATTCAGGGTTGCTGATAGAAACATATAGATATTAACATATAGATTTGTAAAAATGTTTGGGTGATTTTTTTATTTACTGACTTGGAAGAGAATGACCTTGAACTCATCCACGCGGACACCCAGTACTGGTAGAGGTTGTACCTTCTTGAAGTTCCTTATTTAGCGGTGTTTCAATAAAGGACACTCTCAGTGTTAGTTAGCCAATAGTGACTTAGGCCTGGCATACACTGTACGATTTATATCAATTGTTGCACGCAGCTCACACTGTACGACAAAACCCTGTGGTTTTGTTGTTTGGTGTGAGTTTTGTAGTCGTAAAATTAATTTCCCCTATTTACTTACTATAAAAGTTTTCAATCAGTCTGTTTTACTTTCAAGACCACACAGTTTCCCTGCGTGAGAGTTTTTTTAGACAAGACGTACCTTCTTCCCAGGCAGGGCCCAGGCAGAACAGGGCTGATTACCGTGCAGAAAGGGCCGTATGATGAACTGTTCTCTCTTTGCGAAGATTAAAAGATTTTTTTCCCACAACAGTTCACAGCTCACCATGTCTGTTCTCACACACTGCGACCCGACGCTCTGATGCGATCTACCTGCTCACGCTGTACGTCTAAAAACCAGGTGGGACTCAGCTCCGCAGGGAGATGGCGCTACTAGGACTCGTCTATCTGGAAGCCAAATGACTAAAAGAGGAACATGAAGCTCACTAGAGTGAAACTCGCTGCCTTGGCAATTTGCACAATTTTCTACTGAAAGTCCTATAAAGAAAAGGCCACGACGTCGACGACGTATTTGGACAAAGACATGGCTGAGCAAACATGGCTACTACAGTCTGTCAGTTTGACAGAAAGAACTCCATTTCACTCATTGCCCCCCCACCATGCTGCTGGGTTTTCCTCTGAGAGGAAGAAGAAGAATCCTTGTTTGCCCACTGAGTGATTTGCCCACGACCACCTACGATGGCCGACTGAATTTTTGTTTTTCTCCTGACCTACTATTCCTGATGGGGAGGTGGTCGTTAGAGACTGATCGCCCCTTGTTACCCCCTGTACTAGAGTCCTGCACGGGTCAAGTTTTCCCAACCCGCACCCGCCCGAACCCGTTAGGATGACTACCGAACCCGACCCGTCACCCGCGGATATCTTCAATTCAAATCCGAACCCGACCCGTTGATATTTAACCCGCAACCCGACCCGTTAACACATTAAGTATTAGGCTATAGTACGCTGTGCTGCAGAACAGCGCCATTAACACTGCAGCAGACGTGTTTGCACTGACTGTGGCCTTTTTGGAGGGAAGTCCCCACAGCAGGGCTTTAAGCTACAGCAAGGGTGACCCCAGACAGTGCCTGATTAATAGAACATTTCTGATGTCCATAACAACACACACGCATAAAAAAAATCACCAACTACCCGCCCACACTAAAAAAATATCCGCCCGACCCGTTTATTTTTATTTATGTACTTTTCACCCGCAAAAGAGCATTTTAGCGGGTAACACGTTGGGGACCCGCGGGTACCGACCCGTTGCAGGACTCTACCCTGTACAGCTACACCATGCACCATCAGGCTGAAAGTCGGCCCCATCGAAAAATTCTCACACGACTGGAGAATCAGCCCCGAAAAAGGGCCAAAAAGTTGTAGAGTGCACGCCCCGCTTAAAAAGTTTTCCATCATGTTTGACCAGTAGAGCTGGTACTTTTCAAGTGTAACAGAACGCTTTTTTTCTCTCTGCCCAGGCCTGATCTGCCCGGTGGAAATCATGTTCCTGGTGGACAGTACAGAGAACACAAAATCTGTGCTGTTTGAGCAACAGAAGGAGTTCATCCGGAGCTTCAGCACCAAGCTAGTGCAGCTTCACGCAGCAGGCTGGCGTATTCGCCTGCGCCTGGCTGCTTTGCAGTATAGCAGCAACGTCTCCGTAGAGCACAACTTCAGAGACTGGCAGGACCTGGATGTCTTCCAGAGTAGGGTTGGCTTGATGAGTTATATTGGCCATGGCTCCTACTCCGCCTATGCCATCACCAATGCCACCAATGTGTTTAAGCAAGAGACATCCTCCAACAGCCTCCGGGTGGCGCTGCTGATGACGGATGGAAGCGACCACCCACGCAGCCCCAGCGCCGTGGCGGCGGCTGCAGAGGCCAAACAGCACAACATCAGAGTGTTCACCATCCTGCTGTCTGGACCGCCCAAACCAAGCGCCATGGGAACAAGGCTGCGATCCATCGCCAGCGCCCCCCCACAGCAGCATATGTTCAGCCTCAGTGACAGCCAGCTCCACCAAAAGCTCCTGGGAGAAATAGTGAGTAATTATGCTGACGGAGTGGCGAGGATTTTATTTTAACTTTTAAAGGGATGAATGTTTTGTGACCAATTCTTTTCTTTGTGCAGAATACGATTGTGACCTCTGGGGTGAGTAACCTCAGCTCAGTTTTTTTTTTGTCGGTCTCTGCATTTGTTTTATTGCATAACCACCTTCATAAGAGAGATCAAAGAGTTCATGTTGGCCTATGTAACATATTCTCATTCAGTATTATATTAACCCATTTCTTTATTTCAGTGCCCGCAGCCAAAGGATTGCATGTGTGAGAAAGGAGAGAAGGGTCGCCCTGGTAGTCCAGTAAGTAGTGGGCATTTTTAAAGGTGAAGAAACAATAAAATTAACATTAATACATTCTACTTTTATTTAATACTTTTAATGGGTGTTGTTTCTATTACAGCAACAAAAAAATAAAGCAGCAAGTCAGTAAACAGGAAATGACATCAGTTATTCTGAATAAGATGATGAGCTGATGATCGAATGAGGGAAGCAAATCTATGTTCCTAATGTGACAGTGTGGGGTCCTCACTATGCCCCCGGCTGATGATGCTTCTTATCTAACTGGCTGACGGGTCACTGTCCAGTCATGTGCAGGAGTCTGGGGTTCCAATCCCGCCTGGGCCCTCTGGTGTCTACCTTACCACTCTAAAGTGTGGAGGAAGTGAAGAAGCCAATCAGGTTGATATCCAATGTGGAGAAGAGGAAGCATGGAAATAATAGGGGCCCTAAT